TTTTTTTTGAGAGGTTTTTGCTATAGGGTGTGTGCGCTCACCAGAAAAACAGAGAAACAGAGACAGAAAGCAAGAAATCACCCCCCCCCCAAGGGGGGATGGCCATGCTTCAATCCCTTCTCTTCCATTCTCTTCTTGGGATCTTGGGCACACATGCTTACATGCCCAGCGTGAGTTTAAGTCACCGGGTTCAGGACTCGAACCGTGGTCAACTACATGGGAGTTGAGCGATATAGCCATTATGCCAACTGCTGCTCCTGCCATCCTTTGTATTTCCTTTAGTGATAAACATTTCTAGAATGAAGTGGTGGTCAGTTTTTTAACTTCCTTCCTGGGGGGAACGGGGTTGTAGCAGATGGCGTAGGGGTTACTTCACTGACTCCCACATGGCCGACCATGATTCCAGTCCTGAGCCTGATGGCTTAAAAATCATGCTGGGTGCATTTGCATGCATACCCAAGATTTCGGAAGGAGAGTGGAGGAGAAAGGATTGCAGCATGGCCATCCTGCCTGGGGGTGATTTCTCACTTTCCTTCTCACTGTCTCTGTCTCTTTCTCTTTAAAGAGCATATGCATTCTAAGGTTAAAAACCTCTTTTAAAAAATTTAAAATTATCTTTTAAATAAAATAAAATAAATATTTTATTTTTAAAAATTAACGTCATTTTATTTAATTTGATCAGGAAGGACAGAGTGAGAGATAAAGAGAGAGAAAGGGAAAGTGAGAAAGCAAGCTGCCAGCTCCAGGATTTAAAGCGTGATAGGTCATGTGGGAGCCCAGCGACTTTAACCACCATGCCACCTGCCGGCCCTGAGGCAAAAACTTCTAAAAAAAAACCAAAAAACCTTCCTTCCTGGGCTGAAAATATGGGCAAGCTCACTCTCCCTTTGTCAAGCTCATTCTCCCTTTTTTTCCACACATACCCCCTTTAAGAACAATCTTTTAAAATATTTTTTTGGACCATGAAATCCTAACATTGGGGACTATAGGCTTGAACCCATTGATCTTGTTTCTGAAAAGACGGGGTGGGAGTACAGGGGGCAGGAGCTGGCTTTCTGAACCTGCGGGTAAGCCTGGGTTGGGGGGAGCAGGGTTCTGGGGTCCCCTGTGACTCAAAACTTTTCCTCTATCTTCCCCAGGCAGCTGAGCTGGAGGCAGCCCGGCCTCCCCGGCACCGCTACCTCCTGGTGGTTTCCACACGGGACAACTTGAGCCAGGATGAGACAGTCCTCCTTGGGGTGGATTTCCCTGACAGCAGGTAGGAGCAGGGAGAGGAAGGGAGGGGGCAAGGAAGCAAGGCTCTGGGGATAATGGCTTTCCCCGTGTACCCCGTCAGCTCCCCCAGCTGCACCCTGGGCCTGGTCTTGCCTCTCTGGAGTGATACCCAGGTGTACCTAGATGGAGATGGGTAAGACTGGCAACTGGAGAAGGGAAGGGGAGAGGAGGGACCAGGAGAGTGGAAAAAACCAAGTGCGAGGGATGTGATGAGGGGGCTGGCAGTGGGGGGCAGTGTAACTCCAGGCTGGGAGTCCAGGCCTGTGACCTGTTCTCAGCTTTACCTCAGATTTGCTGTGTGATCTTGGGCAATTCACCTATTTCTCTGGGCCTCAGCCATCCTATATCTGGCCAATGGGCAGGCCTTCTATCCCAAGGCCTGGAATTTGGCTCCACCCCCACCTGGTCTCCTGCAGGGGCTTCAGTGTGACATCTGGTGGGCAGAGCCGAATCTTCAAGCCAGTCTCCATCCAGATCATGTGGTAAGGGCCAGGCTAGCCTCATCTAGGGCTGTGGCTGTAGGGCCTGGGTCAGGGCAGCAGGGGACACAGTATAATCTACCCTTTCCTCCTGCCCCAGGGCCACGCTCCAAGTGTTGCACCAGGCATGTGAGGCGGCTCTAGGCAGTGGCCTGGTGCCTGGTGGCAGTGCCCTCACCTGGGCGAGCCACTACCAAGAGAGACTGAATTCTGACCAGAGCTGCCTCAATGAGTGGATGGCCATGGCTGACCTGGAGTCTCTGCGACCTCCCAGTGCTGAGTCTGGCCGGTCAGTGCAGGGAGGGGAGGGCCTTAGGGAAAAGAGCCAGGAAAACACAGTGGGGTGCCATGGCCAAAAGGGGAAGGGGCTCTCTGACTGAGGAGCTCTGCTCCCAGGTCCTCAGAACAAGAGCAGATGGAACAAGCAATCCGGGCTGAGCTGTGGGATGTGTTGGATGCCAGCGACCTGGAGAGCATCACTTCCAAAGAGGTGGGCAGGTGGCCGAGGGACCAGGGGCCCTCCAGCAGGCCATGAGTTTGCCTGACCTTGAGGCCTTCCCATCTAGCTGTCCTTCAGTCCTGAGCTAGCATGTCCCATCTAGCATGTCTTCCTGGATACTTTGGCCTCAGCCCCAGTCCTGGCCTCAGCTTTCTGTCTAGATGGGCTAGGGGAATGAGGGATGATGGACCAGGAGCCTGGAGAGCCTCACTCGCAGCGTCTCCTCTTGGGCTGTGCCCACAGATCCGCCAGGCCCTGGAGCTGCGCCTAGGACGCCCTCTCCAGCAGTACCGTGACTTCATTGACAACCAGATGCTGCTGCTCATGGCCCAGCAAGACCGGGCGTCCCGCATCTTCCCCCATCTCTACTTGGTGAGCTGCAGGCGGAGTGGAGAAATAAAGAGTGCTACAGCAGGGGCCGTGGACAGGGGGAGGTAGTGTCTGGAGAGAAGGGAACATGGTGCTTCTCTCCCCTTCCCTAGGGCTCAGAGTGGAATGCCGCGAACCTGGAGGAACTGCAGAGAAACAGGTAGTACTGAGCCCCTTGAGACCGCCTACTCTCTGTCTGCTCTTGGACTTCCTCCAAGGATAGTATGGCCAGCTTCAGAAGGCCCAAGGCCACCCTCAGTGGCTGCTTTCTACTCTGCCACTTGGGCTGTCACTCTGGCATGGGCTCTCGGGTCACACAGAGCAGCAACCTCCTTAGTCCACACTTCTTTCCTCCCCGGCTATAAGGCAAGAGCAGAAACAGAGGCCCTTGGCCCCCTCAGGTGAGCAGCAGCAGTGGGCATTGCTGTGACTGTCATTTCCAGGCAGTGAAAGGCTCCTCTCCACCTGGCCGTGTCCCAGGGAGAAGGAGCAGCCTCTCTCTCAGTGGGGACCTGGCTGCTTGCTCTGTCACCTGTTTACCACAGGCTTCTGAGAGGCGTGCTGTTATCTCCCGGCTGCAGATCTACCCAATCTCAGCTTAGTTCAGAAGCTGTTGAAGAGTTAGGTTAGTGTTATAGTTGACCTCCACTGTCAGGACTGGATAGGGAAACTCAAGCCGACTGTGGTGGGATGATTTGCTCAAGGTCACAGTCACCTGACAGCTGGGTCATTTCTCCTCTCGCTATGCTTGCTTCCTCACTGAGTCTTTGGAACTGAGCACTAAAGAGAAATACCCAGGGGCGGCTGGGTGTGATGGCCGGGGGCAGGGCCTAGTGACCCTGCCACATAAGCCTGGCCTTGGGTCCTCTGGTACAGGGTCACCCACATCTTGAACATGGCCCGGGAAATTGACAACTTCTACCCCGAGCGCTTCACCTACCACAACGTGCGCCTCTGGGATGAGGAGTCAGCCCAGCTGCTGCCCCACTGGAAGGAGACACACCGCTTCATTGAGGCTGCAAGGTCAGGCTCCTTCTGGCCCCAGATGCCCACCCCAGTCTCAATGGCCGGGCCCCAGCCCAGCCCAGGCCAGCCCAGCCCAGCCTCAATCAGACCCTTTCCCCTCCTTTCCATTCTGCTGCCATCAGTTCTCACACTTTCAGACCCTCCATGTCCTCACTTCCTTTCTCTCTCTCAGTAGTAGCCCATTAGCTGTCTGCCTCACCCCGCACTGCAGGGCTCCTCACAGTGAGGGAGAAGGGGTAGGGGAGCTGACCAGGTCCCACCCACAGAGCCCAGGGCACCCGAGTGTTAGTCCACTGCAAGATGGGTGTCAGCCGCTCAGCTGCCACGGTGCTGGCCTACGCCATGAAGCAGTACGGCTGGAGCCTGGAGCAGGCCCTGCACCATGTGCAGGAGCTCCGGCCCATCGCCCGCCCCAACCCTGGCTTTCTGCGCCAGCTGCAGACCTACCAGGGCATCCTGACTGCCAGGTATGGAGTAGGGGGACGAGGGATGACGCACATGCTGGAGTGGCTGCTGGGTCACTCAAGACTGACTCGAAGCCACCTCCTCTCAGCCGGCAGAGCCATGTCTGGGAGCAGAAAGTGGGAAGGGTCTCCCCAGAGGAACTGCTGGCCCCCAAAGTCTCTACACCATTCCCACGTCTTCCACCGGAACCAGGGGGCAGTGAGGAGGTGAAAGTTAGAAGCTTGGAAGAGAGCCAGGCAGCTCAAGAAGAAGAGCCTGCACCACGACGCCGTATCAACCTCCGAGGGGTCATGAGGTCTATCAGTCTCCTGGAGCCCCCTTCAGAGCTGGAGAGCACCTCAGGGGCTAGTGACCTGCCAGAGGTGAGGCTAGGGCTGGGGCAGTTCATTCTGCAGTGGCGAAGGGAGGGGGTGAGGAGAAGGGAGGGTGGGGAAACATCAGGACAGGTGCTCGACTTCAGGCCCCGAGCAATCTGGGCCCCCTGCAGGGTCTCCTCAGAGGTGTGGATGCCTGGTCCCTGACTCCCCACACTGTCTGCCCACACCCCTCAGCACTAGACATCTAGACCCACCCCGTGAGCATCCCCAAAGATGGGTAGCACATCCTGGGCATTTCCTTTCTGTTTCTCAGAGAAGTGAGAAGACCTGGTGGGGGCAGGCCAGGGCACTGCAGACCTAGACTGGGAGTTGGGTGTGGTGTCACAGGGACAGGGCAGGAGGCAGCACCTGAGGACATCAGCCAGCCCCAGGCCAGGGTGGCAGGCAGGCTTCAGCCTGACAAAGGACTAGCTTGCTAAGACAGAGAGCTGCCCAGCTGTGGAATGAGCATCCTCCCCAGGCCATGAGCTCCACAGCCAACTGCTGGCCCTAGAGGTGGTTCTTACTCTAGATAAGGATAGGTAAGATGATTTCTGTTGCGAAGCTCCTCACGTATCCAAAGAGCAACAAGCAAAGGACGAGGCAGCAAAGGGTCTTACTGCTCTTGGCACTCAAGTGCTAAGTGAGCCCCTCTCTGCACTAAGTGTTACAACGTAGTCTAAAACTCGACACCAGCCTCACGTCAGGAAGCCAGGCCCCACAGGTGACCGCAGGCCCAATGGCAAACCCAGCAAAGGGGGAGCCTGCTGAGGGCAAAAAGATTTGGGAGAAGCTTCTTGGAATTGATGCTGGACATGGAAGGAGTGGGAGGAATGGAGAGTGGATAGATGGATGTGGGCGTGCTATGGGAGTTGCCAAAGGCGGGTACCCACATCCAGCACCCAGACACACACATCCTCCTGGCCCAGCTCGGGGCCAGGCAGTGGAGGAGGTTTCCTCTGTGGCTCACTTTTCTGACTATATAAATGCAGAGTGGACAAGAGGTGGAGCAGAGGTCCTGTGGAACCTAGGCCTCCAGGGAGTGGCAGGGCAGGGACTGAAGATGGCCTCTGGGGTCCAGAGGGAAGATGCAGGCAGGTAAAATCAAGGAACAGGGGCGGTAGGGCTGGGTGCCATCTCCCTCCTAGGGAGTCATGGCCCAGGAACCACATGGTGTTTCTGTTAGGCATTCAGCAAGCATTCTGCATCTACCCTTTGCCTGTCTGCGCTTGATGTTCCTGTCCTGGGAAGACTTCCCAATGGCTCTTTTCCTTCTACTCTCACCCATCCAGGTTTTCTCCTCCTATGAGTCTTCAGATGAAGAGCCTCCACAGCCCTTCTCTCCTCTCTCAAGGGTTAAGGGAGGTGCCTGGATCCACAAAGGGCCTCGTCCTGCCCTGAAATCCCGCCAATCTGTGGTTGCCCTGCAGAGTGCCGCCTTGGTGGCCAGCCGGACCCAGGCCTTCCTGGAGCAGGAGCAGGCACAAGGGGAAGCTGGCATGCCCTCCACACCCAGGCTCCGGAAGGTGGTGAGGCAGGCCAGCATGGATGATAGCAGAGAGGAGGACGAGCCCTGAGCTCTCCCACGTGTGCCCACGTACCCCTAGACACTAAATAGAGGCAACTGATCTGCAGCTCCTCAGATGAACACACCCGTACACACTCCCCTTGGCTCCTCCCCAGGAGTCTCGACTCCTGTCACTACAGCCTCACCTCCTACAGCCTTAAGTCTCAGACCCGTGTCCACCTGTCTAAGGGCTCATGCATATAATTGGGGTGCAGTAGAGAGACTGAAGGTGCCTTTGGGGGCAACAGCACCCTAGTTTCATGCTCAACTTTCACCCTAAAACACTCCCTTATAACCACAGATATGGAAAGGCTCAGGCCTTCTACTCTCATTTCATTCCAGCTAGGCCAGAGACTCAGTGGTCTCCCAAAACAAAGTCCCCAACCCCAGGAGGCTCTGAGGGGTCTGGCTGGTCGACTCTCTTGCACACCTCACAGCTGGCCTGAGTCTGTGGCTGCTGCCCGCAGCCCAGACACTGCATGAGGTCACAGGACACCAGGCCAGAGTGTTTGTTATGTCCTTCACAGCTTCTGGCCAGTCTGTTTTTCATAGTCTTAATAGTATCTGGCTTTGTACTGAGAAATAAAAGACATTTTCATATTTAGTTATTTTTGACTTACGATAAACTTGTCTTCAATCAGATCCTTCTCTGTTTACAGAACAGAGAACTATAAGGAGAGCTTGACTTCTTATAGTTTCCTCACAATTCCCAGGTGTCTTGTGACAGATTGACGTATTTAGGGGAGTGGAGTGTTTGCAGGTGGAGTGGGAGGAAGAGTGGGGCAGAGAAGAGGGGAGGCCAGTGTCATCTCCCACCTTCTAGGGTAGGGCCTGGGTAAATGTTATCTGCCCAAGCCCCAGGCTGGTTGGTGGAAGAACAGCAGGCATTAGCTCTGTTGGGAGAGCTGAAGGGAGTTACCCATGAGGAAGTGGAAGCTGCTGCTGCCTATTTCGACAGGACCAAGCCTGTTTGGAAAGCTAAGACTCCTTTTGGACACTGGATGCTAGTTCTTGAGCATAATTTGGGTCCTAAAAATCTTCTTCCTGGGGCTGGCAGATGGTGTGGTGTGGTGTCCAGCACCTTAACCACCATGCCACTGAGACTGGGACCCAAGACTCGATGGTTTTAAGAATGACTCTCCTACCCAGACCCTGGTGGGACCCCCAGCACTGAACCACTCTAACTCTACAGTGCTAGGGGGGAGGTTTCCCCACTCTCAAGTTACTTCATCTTAAGTCTGTTACTTTCTGTAAAACAAAGGGATTAAACCAGGAAATCCCTGGAACCAGCAGATGGCATAATGGTTATGTCACTGGACTTTCACATAGTTGACCATGGTTTGAGTCCCAGACCTGACGGCTTAAAACTCATGCTGGGCATGTGTGTGTGCATGCCCAAAATTCTGAGGGGAAGATGAAGAAGAGACTGTGGTGGGGCTATCCACCCTGGGAGAGTGATTTCTCATTTTCTGTCTCTCCGTCTCTCTCTGTCTCTCTGGTGAGTACACATACCTATAGCAAACATTTCTCTCAAAAAAAAAGAAACTCCCTAAACATTCCCTTGACTTTTTTTTTTTTTTTTTAAATACATGTCATGTATACATTGCTAAAATTCAGCCTCCATGTGCTTTCCAGAAGAGGAGTCATTTGCACCCATCAGGGTGGCATATCCCAGGTCACAAGGCAGAGTACCAGGGAGCTGGTTCTGATTCCTCCTCCACCTGGCTGAGCAAACACTAGGGACTGCCTGCCACCCTACAACCAGGGCTGCATCCTAGGCTGGGACAGCAGGCTGCAGGTGGGTGACAGCGTCAGTGTCAGGGCCAAGGCCAGGCCAATCCCTGCCCTCCTGCAGCCTGTGCCGCTCATAAGGCAGGGCCCAAATGTAAGCGCAGAGCTATGGGGCTGACAGGAATCCAGGAGGACACTAAGAAGAGTCCAGTATGTGGGGAAAGAAAGGCTGGATGGGAAACTATTTGCATCCAAATACAAATAATTAAGAACTGTGTGTGTATACACACACACATATATACACACACATACACACACACATATATGTAGCTCACAAGAAATGCTAAAGGGGCAAAAAATAGTAAAGAAAATTCTGAAATGATTGTGTCTGGCCTCATGACTGAGTGGTTAAGGAACTGGATCCCATGCGACTGAGTGCAGTTCAAGTCTGAGCCCTGGCGGTTTGGGGGACATACCAGGCACATGTGTGCATGTGTGGGTACACATGCAAATCCCAACACGGTGGAGTGATGGAAGAGAAGGGATTGCAGCATGACCATGTTCCATTGGGTGGAGGGGTGCTTATTCTCTGCCCGTCTCTGGCAAGCAGATGTACCCTTTGGCAAAGAAGAGAAAAGAAAGAAAAGGAAAAAGAAAAATACATAAAATGAAAAGTCAGTCTCCTGCCCTGCCCTCCAATCTTCTACTTCTATTTTCACAGGCCAGTGACTATTGTTTGTTTGTGGTGGTTGTTGTTTTTTGCTTGAGAGGTTTTTGTTATAGGGCATGTATGCTTGCTGGAGTGAGAGAGAGACAGAGAGACAGAAAGCAAGAATGATGATGGGGGTGTGGCCACCCTGCAATCCCTTCTCTATCCTCCTCTCAGGATTTTGGGTACACAAGCACATGCACCCGGCTCGAGTATCAAGTCGCCAGGTCCAGGACTTGAACTGAGGTCTGCCATGTGGGAATCCCGCAATGTAATCATTATGCCATTGTCCCTAAGACGATGGTCCTCAGGACAATGACTATTGCTATCTTCTGAGCTTCTCCACATGAATACATAGAGATTTGTCTCATTTAAAAAATAAACGCACAAATTCCATTTTATGGAATTCACTGTTTTTTAAGTGATAATTTATTGATGAACACACATTTATATGTTTCCCTTTTTTATTTTTTTAAAAGATTTTAGGGGCTGGCAGGTGGCATGGTGGTTAAGGGCACTGAAATCCCACATGGCTGACCGTGGTTCAAGTCCTGGACCTGGCAGCTTGCTTTCTCACTTTCTCTCTCTCTCACTCTGTCCCTCTCTTGTCAAATTAAAATAAATAAAGAAAAATAGGGACCAGCAGTTGGCGTAATGGCTATGT